GAAACAGTCTTTCGAGACACTTGCCCCACGCCATTCCTGGCCGTCCCCCGGGTCTTCGGACCGTTGGTTGAATAAGTAGTATTTGTTTCGCCTTCCTTTCGGGAGGCATTCGCAATACGTGCCCAAACCATTGCAGCTGTGACTTTTCAATCTGAAGAAGCAGCGCCGATACACAAAGGTTCTCTCAGATTTCCGTACTCCAGGCAACGCTGAGAGACGAGCCCAGAGATTTGTTTCACAAAGTCCATTTCAGCTGCTTGCGTCAGCGATCAAAGATTTTCAGTCACAGTCTATGAGTGATGACCGGAGGTGAGTATCAGGATGAAGATCAACTTAAACATAGAGCGTTTAGTTTACAGACTCACATGGATTCGGGCTAGTTGACGCAAACGCCGCTGTTCCCTGAAATTCGCCGGTCGATCACCTTCTCTTATCTTCCGTAATGAGAAAATGATTTTCCTGAATTTCTCTCCCTGTTCAACTGCTTTCCCGTTCACCTGCGGAGCGCACCATGCATCAAGCATGAGAACGAGAAAGCACTAGGCTTTTCGTTTTATATGCGTTCACACGTATGCCAGTCACGTCGCACCCGGCTGCGAACCTTTCTAGGGAGCGCTGTAGATCAGTTTCAGAAGATACCAATGAAATAAAGTCATCTGAAAACAGCAACCTTCGCGTTTCGACATCTCCTACGCTGTGCCTGACTAAACCATTCATTCACAACGCAAACAGCAGCGGGGGCAGATAGCAGCTTCGGCGAAGAGAAGTGCCGACTCTGAAAGGAATCGTCTTAACGCCAGTTACTCTGACACCATACCTGCAATCAGCATACAGTAACTGGATAATTCGTAGCAAATGAGCTATCGATCCCACATGTTTCCACCCATGCTCAGAGCTTTATGCACAGCATCCGATCATAGGATTCCTCCAGGTAAATAAAGCAAGTTTAAACCGAATGGGCGATTTTTAGCCTCAAACGTAAACCATTTTATAATAGCAAGTAGCAGCTAGTCGGTGTTAAGGCGTAATTCGTCCATACTCGACAGATAACTTCCGGCGCAAAATCTAGTAGACATGGAATAATTCTAGCAATCGTTTGAACGAATAATTCTATGAAAAATTCACTTTCTAATCTTGTTTCTTTACCTCTGCTAAGCTACGTTATCCTTTTCACTTATTTTGTTCAGCTAAGACACTTCATAGCTTCATATCACATCTATATCTTCGATAAAAAATTCTTACCTTGACCTTGTCCCCATTAAACAATGTCATAAACGAAGCGAGTGATCCGGTCGCCCCTTGCACCCCACGGAAACGTAGGTTTTTCAGCGAGCTGTCCAAATTTTGGAATGAAATGAGCAGATCCTGTGTCCATATTGATGCCCGTTTTCCTAATGTTGTGATCGTAGCTGCCCTATAACGTAAAAGTTACTTATATAACTAAAATCGAACATTGAAAATGAGCGTTTCTTGCTCAGTGAACAATGAGATCATCATCAAGCACGTCTTCTACTGAAACATAATGTAAAATTAAATACTGTTCAGATTAAAAACTTTACAGCTACTGAATATTATGTACAAAAGACAGGATCGGTATATGATCTAATGAACATATTGCTAGTTATAAGCATGTTAAAGATATCGATAGTGAGAGGATCACAATTCATATCTTAATACATCCATATCGTTTCGTTATGCACACCAGAGTAGTATATTACTTACTGATAATGTGTTCTGCCAACGGTTGGCATATCCCGATACTTTAAGGCGAATCTGCTCAAACGATATATGCAGTGAGCGCATTTCTGGAGGACATGGGACGCTGCATTTTTGATGATAATCAAATCCTATAAACAGTATAATTAATTTTTAAGACACAAGTTAACATCAGAGGCTTGAGGGCGCAACTGGTTAGTAACTGCAGCCATTGTTTACCATGAATATGTTAAACTTTTTCGTACACAACGAAAATAATCAGTTTACTAAACGCTATCACGGTTATTTAGCTGCGTATACATTGGCAATATGACATTCCTGGCTGATGACCTCGAAGCGGGGGTCAGCATCTCATGACGTAGACTAACA